CCATTTTGGCTATTTTTCCAAGTCCAACCCAGCCACACTAACCACACTCCTCATGTTGCATAACCACCACCACTACAGATTTCCAAATCAGAAAAGAACCTGATTTACTTTTCAAAAACTTCATTCTGGCTTATTTTCCATGAGTGTCTTTTTATAAACTTTCCATTTTTTTACCCTGAGTAAACACACTTTTATTTTCTTACCGATACATACTGATGCCACTTACAATCATAGCCTTAATTAATAAAGGCTTAATTAATAAAAGGGTCACTTTTCTAATGAAATCTCTGTTTATTGTCACCTATCACTTTTCTCAAATTTTCATTCACATTTTTATTTAAATTTTTCTTTCTTGTATGACACCAAAGTGAAAAACTCTATAAAGAATAGGACTGAAAAATTCGCTTTCATGAGATACAAATATAAAATTAAAAAACTTAAAAAAAACACAAACCCTGTAATAAACTGATTGAAAAAGAACCTTGAAAGAACATCTCATAAAGGGCTCTTAGAAAAGGAGAGTGGGCCGTGCTACAGGATAAGCACTGGACTACTAACTACAAGGTTGGCAGTGCAAACCCACCAGAGCTGAGCAGAAGAAAAGATGAGGCTTTCTGTTACCAAAAAGATTTACAGCCTCAGAGGGTGCTATGAGTTGGAAACTGACTTGACCATACTCTCAACCAGCCAACATAAACAGCAGAGAAAAAGTAATCCAACAACAACCAAACCATACAGGAAAACAACAAAAGAAATGACAAGAAAATTTATAATAATGAAGTCCCAAAGAGCAATATAACTAAGAAAAGAACCACCATGCAGGAGCCTTCAAAGTCATAAATATTTTTTATATATCAAGACATCATTTTAGCATATCAGATTTAGGAATTTTAAAATTATAAAAATATACAGAGGTACTGAGGGCATATGGAAAGAGAACCCTCACCCATTTCACTGAAGCTATAAATTAGTATTAAGGGACTTGTAGAGAAGATTAGCTATTGTGTTATGGTTAGGTAGCATCACTGCATACCGATTCATCACCGTTACATACCGACTGTAAGTACAAAAGAACAAACACCGCTTGGTCCTGTGCCAACCTCACAATTGTTGCTCATTGAACCTATTGCTGGTGCCATTGTGTCAATTCAGCTCACTAGGGGTCGTCCCCTTTTACACTGAGCCGGCACTTTACCAAGCACGATGGATGTCCTTCTCCTGGAACTGGTCCCTCCTGATTATAAGTCTGAAGTATGAGAGATGAAGTCTGACCATCCTGGTTTTTAAGGAGCATTCTGGCTTTACTTCTCCCAGCACAGAAATTCGTTTGTTGTTTTGGCAATCCATGATGCCTTTAATATTCTCCTCCAACACTGTAATTCAAACGCATCAGTTTCTTATTCACTATACAACTTTCACATGCATATGAGTTTATTGAAAATACCAAAGCTTGGGGTCAGGTGCACCTTAATCCTCAAACTTTTTTTTTTTGGCTCTTGAACACTTAAATAGGTCTTCTGCAGCAGATTAGCCTAGTGCAATATGTCACTTGATTTTTTGACTTGTCAACTTGCTCTTTTCACACCTTTTTCACTACATAAATGTTGGTGGTTGATCTAAGCAAAATTAAGTTTTTAACAACTTTAAGCTTTTCTCCATTTATCATGATGTTATTTATTAAGTTAATTGGGAGGACTTTTCTTTTCTTTATCCTGAGGTGCAATCCAAACCAAAAATGTGGTCTTTATTCTTCATTAAGTATGTATTTGAAGTCTTCTTTGCTTTCAGCAAGTAAACTTGTATCATCTGCATATCGCAGGTTGCTAATGAGTCTTTACCCAATCCTGATGCCACGTTTTTCTTTATATAATCCAGCTTCTCGAATTATTTATTCAGCATACAGACTGATTAAATATGATGAAAGAATACAACTCTGGCACAAATCTTCCTAATTTTATATCATTCAGTGATCCCTTGTTATGTTCAAACAACTGCTTCTTGATCTATGTACAGGATCCTCATGAGTACAATGAAATGTTCCTGAATACTCAGATTCTCTGTAGTGCTGTCCAGAGCTTGTCATCATCCACAAAATCGAAAAGCCTTCGGGTAGTCAATAAAGCACAGGTATTTTCTGCTTTCAGCCAAAATCCATCTGACATCAGCAATGATATCGCATCGTTCGACGTCTGAATCGTGCTTCAACCTCTGGCAAAGAATCCTTCAGTATTGCAAGTCAGAGCATGAATATTTTCTTCAGTTCCCTCCGTTTGAGAAATGCTGGGTGTGTTCTCCCCTTTTGTTTTCCAAATTCCAGATCTTTGCTATAATATTTGACTTGGTCTTCTCAAGCTGCCCTTTGAAATTTTCTGTTCAGCTCTATTACCTCCTCATTTTTCCCACTTGCTTTAGCATCTCTACATTGGAGATTTACAGCTGTTTCTTCTCGTTTTGAATAGTGCCCCATCGGCATATGAAGGTCCTGAAAACGTAACTCCATTTGCATCATCACAGTCAACTCTACTGTGAGAAGGCAGCTCTTCCCCAGTAGTATTCTGAGTGGCTTCCAACCTGAAGGGCTCATCTTCCGGCATTCTATCTGACAATATTCTGGTGTTCTTCATCATGTCTCAATATTCTGCGTTCTGGTGTTATATAACAGCGTTCCACTGCCATTCATAAGGTTTTCATTGACTAAGTATTCGGAAGTAATCTGTCCTTCCTTGCTAGTCTGTCTTTCTGGAAACTCAGCTGAAGCCTGTCCATTTTCGGTGATTTTGCTGGTATTTTAAATACTGGTGGCATAGCTTCCAGAATCACAGCAACATGCAAGCCACCACAGTGTAACAAAGTGATGAGTGGTGGAGACTGACAGCACCTATTAGAATGTACATTTTGCAATTCTTTGAACTAGCAACTCTTGCACATACACATATATTCATAACACCATTGTTTAATATAAAACATAGAGAAGGCAACAATCTAAATGCTGTCAATATGGAATAATTAAATAAAATGGAATTTTATTTAAAATGGAGTATAACCGACTCGAAGGCACTTAGCAACAACAACATATGAAACCATTAAAAATAATAAAGCAAACCTACATATGCTGGCATGAAAAGATGATCATGTTTTACTAAGGTGTGAAAAGAGCAAGTTGCTAAACAATAAATATAAATTCACTATACATTAAAATTAGATCTAAATCTCTATATATGGAAGCATGGATTCATTCATTTAACAAGAATTTGTTGAATCTTTACACGCCAGGCATGAAATATGCTTATAAATATACATATTTTATTAAAATTACATATATATCAGAACTCTGTGCCTCCTGATTTTATTTTTAACCTCTGTAACTGAAAAGAAATTAGAATAAAATACATAAAGAGATAACATATTTATGGAGTTGAAAACTTCATAGTGCTAAAATTATTGTTGCTAGGAATCCTTGCGACTTAGTGAGTTTGAGTCCACCAGGTGCTCAGAAGGAGAAAGAAGAAGTTTTCTATTCCTATAATGTTTCAAAGTCATAAAAGTCCTATACAGGGTTGCTATGAGTCGAAACCAACCAGATGGCACACAGCCAACCAAGTGTTGCGGAGTTGGTTTTGATTCCCAGTGACTCCTCTTAGTACAGGCTTCCAGATCCTGTACAAGCCTCACAATTTTTGTCATGTTTCAGCCCATTGTTACTGCCACTGTGTCAATCCATCTTATTGAGGGTCTGACTCTATCACTGACCCTCTCTACTTTACCAACCATGGTATCCTTCTCCAGGGACTGGTCCTTCCTGACTTCCTGACAACAAGGCCAAAGTATGGGATATGAAGTTACACCATCCCAGATTCTAAGGAGCACTCTGGCTGTACTTCTTCCCAAACAAATTTGTTTGCTTTTCTGATAGTCCATGGTACTTTCAATTTCTCTACCAACACCATAATTCAAATGCATCAATTACTCTCTAGTCTTTCTTACTCATTGTCCACCTTTTGCATGCATATGAGGTTATCAAAATGTTTTCTGCAGATTTTCCCAAAGCAATACACTCTTTGATTTCTTAACTGCTGTTTCCATGAACACTGATTGTGGTTCCAAGTAAAATGAAATCTTTGACAACTTTGATTTTTCCTCCATTCTTCATGATATTACTTATTGGTCTAGTTGTGAAGATTTCTGTTTTCTTTACATTAAACTGTAACCCATATTGTAGACTTTACTTTTTGATTTGCATTAATTAGTGCTTCAAGTCCTCTTCAATTCCAGCAAGCAAGGTTGTTATCGTCTGCATATTGCTAATTGTTAATAGGTCATCTTCCAAATCCTGATGCTGTACTCATCTTCATGTAGACTAGCATCTTGGATTATTTGCTCAGTATACAGATTGAATAAATACAGTGAAAAATACAATCCTGACACATATCTTTCCTGATTTTAAACCATTTAGTATCCCTTGTTTCATTCAAATGACTGCCTCTTAGTCTATGTACAGGCTGCTCATGAGCACAATTAAGTGTTCTGAAATTCCCATTCTTTGCAAGGACTCCATATAAGCATCTATAATTATTGGGCCTTTCTGCTCCCATAAGGATTTACAATCTTAGGAACCAACACCCGGGTTACTATAAGTCAGAACTGACTCAATCGTGCACAAATACCAATCACCACTTTTGGAAGGAAACCTGAAAATCAAGATTTCTGGAGGAATCTCTGATTTTGAAATGTTAACAATTAATTCATATTCTTAAACTAGTTTAAAAAAATATTTTAGATTGGGAACTATGGATATCTAAGGAAGGTAATACAAACAAATTTCTTGAATTCCTTCATGGTGGCCAAGATACAAGGATATATGAGTATGTGTCAGCTCAGCAGCAGTATGTGCTGAGTGACATCACACATACACACTTCTTTAAAAAAAAAAAAAGTGGGGGAGGAAAAAGCAAAGAGAGTCATAGAATTCGTATTGTATGATTTCGGTTGAAGATACTTGCCTATTTGAATTGTGTCCTCTGAATGCAATTCTACAACAGGTTTTGATAGAGGAGGCTTGGATCTAAGGAAATATAAGGAAGATGAGTCAAATAGCTGATAAACTGCAAAACTGTGTAAGTCTATAGACACGTCACATAAATACTGTTGTTAAGTACCGACAGGTCAGTTCTGACTCATAGTGACCCTGTATAGGATTTCCAAGGAATGGCTGCAGTCATGCAGTGAGCAGTCCAGTGTTTATCCTATAGTGATCATCTGTCAGTTTGCCTTACGGTGGTGGCTTGTGTGTTGCTGTGAGTCTGGAAGCTATGTCACAAGTATTTTGAATCCCAGCAGGGTTACCCATGGTGGACAGGTTTCAGCAGATCTTCCAGATGAAGAGGCAGGCTCTTTCTGACAGGTAAGCCACTGGAAACCTTATGAACAGCACGGGGACACTGTCTGACATAGTGCTGGAAGACGAGCTCTCAGCTGAGACGCCACTCCAAATACAACTGGGGAAGGGGTGCCTCCTCAAACTAGAGTTGATCTTAATGATGAGGATGGAGCCAAACTTTTAATACCTTCATTTGCTGCTGAGGCACAACTCAAAATGAGAATAAACAGCTGCAAATATCCATTAATACTCAAAATGTGAAATGTACGAAATATGAATGTAGCAAAATTGGAAGTCATTAGAAATGAAATGGAGTGCATAAAGATCAATATCACAGGCATTAGAGAACTGAAAGGGACTGGCATTGGCCATTTTAAGTTGGGCAATTATATGGTTTCCTACGCATTTTATGATAAACTGAAGATGAACAGCACTGTGCTCATTATTAAAAAGAGTATTTCAAGATTTATCGTGAAGTACAATGCTGTCCATGATAGGTTACTATCCATATGCTTACAAGAAAAACCAGTTGCTATGATTATGATTCAAATTTACACACCAACCAATAAAGGCAATAACGAAGAAACTGAAGAATTCTACCAGCTTCTTCAGTTTGAAATTGATGAAGCCTGCAGTCAAAATGCATTGATAATTATTGGTGAATACAAAAGCTGGAAACAAAAAAGAAAGATTGGTAGTTGAAAAATATGGTATTGGTGACAGAAATGAAGCTGATAGAATTTTGCAAGACCAATACTTTATTCATTACAAATACAGGTTTTTCAACAACATAAATGGCAACTATACACATGTACCTTGCTAGGTGGAACACAAAGAATCAAATTAACTAAATCGCTAGAAAGAAACAATGGAGAAGGTCAGTATCACCAGCCAAAACAAGGCCAGGAACCAATTGTGAAACAGACCATAAATTACTCATATGCAAGTTCAGGTTGCAGCTACAGAAAATTAAAACAAGTCCACAAAATCCAAAAGATACCCTTGAGCAAAGTAGGGTTGAACAAGATTGATGGTTCAAGCTCACCCAACACTCTTTGGAACCAACTCGACAACACTTAACAACAACGACAGCATATCCCATATCAGCACTGGACTGTGAACCACAAGGGCAACAGTTCAAATGCACCAGTTGCTCCTTGGAAACCAGGGTCACTAAGTACCAGAACCAAGTTGATGTGATACTTAACAACAAAATATCCCATCTGAATTTAGAGATCATCTCAAGAAATGATTTGATACACTAAACACTAATGGCCAGGGATGAGAGGAATGGCAGGATAGCTTCAAGAGCATTATACAATAAGAAAGGAAACAAGTATTTAAAAGAAAGGAAGGAAAGAAAAGACCAAAAGGGGTGTCAGTTTATAAAACTTGGGGGGAAAAAAATTGCCAACCCAAAATCATATACTTGTAAAACTTATCCTTCAAATATAATGGTAATATTAGGATAATTCCAGATAAACAGAAATTAAAATGAATCTGTAAAACTCAGACCAAATTTACATGTAGTATCAAAGGGTGTTCTTTGGATACAGAATCCGCAAGAGTGTTGTAATAACACCGCCCAGAAATCATCCAAGATACAGAGGCTGCAGGACAATGAATGACACCATATAGCTCTTACATTCATAGTTTTTGTACCTCCCATCAAACAATGTTTTTGCCCTGCTGGACTTGACATAAGAGAAGGTAGGAGAATATACTGATAGGATTATATGATTCATTTGTGAGTGGTTACCAGAATTAATTGTGATTGTAAAAACGCGTAACTCTAATATGTATAAAATGAGTCATCTCAGAAGCAGGAAAAAGGAAATCTCACTAACAGCACAGTGGCTCCATGGGATAAGCACTGCACTGCGAACCACAAGGTCAAAAGTGGTTCAAGCCCACCATGGGAGAAAGATGAGGCTTTCTGCTCCCTCAAAGATTTAAAAGCTGGGAAACGCTATACAGGGTCTCTATGAGTTGGAAGCAATTTGATGGCACTTAATAGAATAACAACAACTACCATCACAGAACAGCCAGGAGTGGAGTGCATCCTTTGGACCTCGAAATCCCTGCAAACGGAGAGCTGTGGCCCTGGAGGAGTGGAAGATGAGGAGCAGCAGAACCAAGAGCCAGAGCCCGAGACAGAGAGGTGAGCTTCACAGTCCACAGAGCCAGGAAAGCTGCGTGACTCTGGGAAGGAGGCTTGCTGTAGAGTATGGTACCTCCAGGCACATAACTGGGGGAACTAGGTTTTGTGAGGGAACACTGAATGGTTTTGAATCAGGGAATCAGTGCACCAGGGCTGTATTTTTTCACTTATTTAATTTGTATGTTCAGCAAATAATCCAAGAAACTGGATTATATGAAGAAGAATGTGGCATCAGGATTGGAAGAAGACTCATTAACAAGTGTGTGAATAGGCAGATGACAAAACCTTGCAGTTTGAAACACACAACTTGAAATACTTACTGATGAAGATCAAAAACTACAGCCTTCACTATAGATGGCACCTCAGAGTAAAAGAAACACAAATCTTCCTCATTGGAGAAAAGATTGAAGTCAAAAACTTCATTTTGCTTGAATTCACAATCAACAATCATGGAAGCAACAGTAAGGAAATCATACAATGAACTGAATTAGGCAAATCTGCTGCAAAAGACCTCTTTGTTGTTATTAGGTGCCATTGAGTCGGTAAAGACTCATAGCAACCTTATGCACAGCAGAACAAAACACTGCCCGATCCTGGGCCAACCTCACTATTGCCACGCTTGACTCGATCGATGCTGCCACTTGGCCAATCCATCTCGTTGGGGGGGTCTTCCTCTTTTTCTCTGACCCTCCACCTTACCAAACATGATATCCTTCTCCAGCGACTGGTCCCTCCTGACAATATGCCCAAAGTATTAGAGACGAAGTTTGGCCATCTTGGCTTCTAAGGAGCACTCTGGCTGCACTTCTTCCAAAACAGATCTATAGGTTCTTTTGGCAGCCCATGGCACTTTCAATATTCTCCTCCAACACCATAACGCAAAGGCATCAATTCTTCTACAGTCTTCATTATTCACTGTCCAGCTTTTGCATGCATATGAGGTTATTGAAAACACCATGGCTTGGGTCAGGCGCACTTTAGTCCTCAAGCTGACATCTTTGCTCTTCAACACTTTAAAAAGGTCTTGTGTAACAAATTTCCCTAATGCAATACGTTGTCTGATCTCCTGACTGCTGCTTCTGTGAATGTTGACAGTTGATCCAAGAAGAATGAAGTCCTTGACAGCGTCAATCTTTCCTCCGTTGATAAGAATGTTGTTTACTGGTCCAGTGGTGAGGATTTTTGTTTTCTTTACATTGAGATGTAATCCATACAGAAGACTGTGCTCTTTGATCTTTATCAGTAAGTGTTTTAAGTCCTCTTCACTTTCAGCAAGCAAGGTTATATCATCTGCGTATCATAGGTTGTTAATGAGTCTTCCTCCAATCCTTCAGCCACGTTTTTCTTCACAGAACCCAGTTTCTCGGATTATTTGCTCAGCATACAGGTTGAATAAGTATGATGAAAGAATACAACCTTGCCCCACACCTTTCTTAATTTTAAAACATTCAGTGTTCCCATGTTCTGTTCGAACAACTACCTCTTTAAAGTGTTCAAAAGCAAAGATGTCACTATGAGGACTATGGTGCACCTGTCTCAAGGCATGGTGTTTTCAATCACCTCTATAGAGGGTTGCAATGAGTCAAAACTGACTCGATGTCACTAACAACAACATATGCATGTGAAAGTTGGACAATCAATAAGGAAGCCCGTAGAAGATCAATGCATTAGAATTATGGTGCTTGCCAAGAATCCTGTCAGAAGAACAAACAAATCTGTCTTGGAAGATGTCCAGCCAGGATGCTCCTTATAAGCAAGGATGTTGAGATTTCATCTCTCATACTTTGAACATTTTGTCAGGAGCAACCAGTTCCTGGAGATAGACCTCATGCTTTGAAAAAACGAGGGTCAGCAAAAACAGAGGGAGATCCCCAAGCAGATGGGCTACCACAGTGGGAGCCACAATGAGTCTAAATAGAACAATTGTGAAGACAGTGCAGGGCCAGGCAGTGTTTCGTTCTGTTGTGCATGGGGCTGTTATGAGTTGGAACTGACTCAATGGAACGTAACAACAGGTTTGTTGATCCAAGGAGCCCGAAGTGACTTCCTTCAGGCAGAGGTTTTTAATGGAGTGATGTGCCCTGTGGATATTTATCAGAAGACTTAAACAATCTTGATAATAATGACAGAGCAGGGGAGAGGCCAGGCCAAAGGTTCAAGGGCCAGAGAGAGGCCTACCTGTGGGCACAGCAGAAGAGGTGCTGTCATAGTACAGGAACTATGCCCTGATCATTGCTGACTCTGAACTGTAACCTGTTAAACTTCCAAATGGACTCCGGGTGTGGTGCAGTAGGTAAGTGTTGGACCTCTGACTGCAAGGTAGAAAGAAGGAATAAATACTTCTGAGGGATTAGTCCCTGAAATCCTTGTGAATAGCAGTGATATAGTGTTGAAAAATGAGAATAGCAAAATGGATAAGAAAATAGGGCATATCAGAATGCAGTCTATAAAAGACACACTTTAGACACAAAGACAGAAATAGACTAAAAAAAAAAAAAATCAAAGAATGGATAAAATATATCAAGTTGAATATATTTAAATATTACTAATATCAATTTAAGGATTTCTGGTGATGCTGTAGGGAATGCACTGGGCTGCTAACTACAAGGTTGGCAGTTCAAACCCACTGTTCTGCAGGACAAAAATGAGACTTTCTGTTCCATTAAGATGTACAGTCTCAGAAAACCTATATGTAAAGTTGCTATAAGCAGGAATGGCAATACTGATTTCTAATAATAGCACTGGGGAAGAGGTGCCACCTAAAAGTACTCAAAATAGGACTGGGTAAGAGCTGCCACCTCAAATGGGACATTCTTTTGCTGACAGGGAAAAACTCCTAAAGAGAAGAAACAGTTGCAAACATCCATTAATAATCAGAATGTGGACTGTATTAAGTATGAATCTAGGGAAATTGAAAGTTGTCAAAAATTAAATGTAATGCTTAAAGATTATCAAGGCATTAGTGAGCTGAGATGGACTCGCATTGGACACTATGCTGAGAATGACAAATTGAAGACGAATGGTGTTGCATTAATTGTCCAACAACAACAAAAAAAAGTATAATGCTGCCTGTGATAGGATAATATCTACACACATACAAGGAAGACCAGTTTATAAGACTATTATCCAAAGTTAGGCCCTAAAAGAAATGAAGACAAAATTTTAGAGGTCTATCAACATTTTTCTCTATGAAATTCATCAAACATACAGTCAAAATGCATTGATAATTGCTGGTGACTGGAATATGAAAATTACAAATTCATATACAAGTTCAGGTTGGATCAAGAGAAACTTAAAGCAAGTCAATTAGAGCGAAAACATGACCTTGACTTATCATACCTATTTTATTTAGAGATCATCTCAAGAACAGAGTTGATACACTGAACACTAATAACCAAAGATAAGAGAAGTTGTGGGATGATATCAAGAACAGCATACATGAAGAAAGCATATGGTCATTAAAATGACAGAAAAGAAAGAAAAGGCAAAAATGGATGCCAGATGAAACTCTCACACTTGCTCTCGAGCACAGAAAAGTTATAGAGAATGGAAGAAATTAAGAAGTCAAAGAGTTGAACAGAACATTTCAAAGGCAGCTTGCGATACAAAGTCAATTATTATAATGAGATGTGTGGTCAGAAAACCAAAAGGGAAGAAGAAGCTGAGCATTTCTCAAGCTACAAGAACCGAAGAAATATTTCAAGCCTTGGGTTGCAATACTGAAGGGTCCTGGTGGGGTGCTATAGGATAAGCACGGAATTGCTAACTGTAAGGTTGGCAATTCAAATTTACCAGCTGCTCCTCAGAAACCCTACACAGGGTCGCTATGAGTTGGAATCAACCCTGTGACACTTAACAACAATAGGCAGAATACTGAACGAGGCCAGAAGAAATACACAAAGTCACTGTGCTAAAAAGACCTGCTCAATGTTCAATCACTTCAGTAGGTAGCAGAGGATGGTATTAAAGGACGAGGTCCAAGCTGCACTGAAAGCAATGGTGCAAAACATGGCTCCAGAAATTGATGGAATGTTTCAACAAACTGATACAGCCCTGGAAGCAGTCACTAGTCTAGGCCAAGAAATGTGGAGCTATATTTGTGCCCATTCCAAAGAAAGGTGATCCAAGAGGATGTGGAAAGTATTAAACAATGCTGTTAGTATGACATGCAAGTAAAATTATGCTGAAGATAATTCAAAAACTACTGCAGAGTACACTGACAGGTGATGGTAGTGGCTGTGCGCTATGGAGTTGGTTCCAACTCATGGAAACCCTGTACAGAGTTTCCAAGGCTGTAAATCTTTAATGGGAACAGAAAGCCTGACAATAATTCAACACCGATTGCAGCAGTATATTAGCAGGTGGTGGTGGTTGTGTGCCATGGAGTCGGTTCCAATTTGACCCTGTTTCTGAGGCTGTAAATCTTTACGGGAGCAGGAAGCCTCATCTTTCTCCCATGGAACAGCTGGCATTTTCAAACTGCTGACCTTGAGGTTAGCAGCCCGACTTGTAACCACTACACTAGCCTCTAGAAATTCAAGCCGAATTCAGAAGAGGATGTGGAACAAGGGATAGCACTGTGGACGGCAGATGCATCTTAGCTAAAGCAGAGAATACCATAAAGTTATTACTTGTGTTTTATTGACTATTCAAAGGTATTCTGTATGCATTATAATAAACTTTGGATGCCACTGCGGAGACTGAGTACTCAAAACACTTAAGTGTGCTCATACAAAACCTGTATATCCAAGATGCAATTATTTGAACTTAACAAGGGGATACTGAATGGTTCAAAATCAGGAAAGGTGTGTATTGAGAAGGTTGCATCATACTTATTCAATCTGTACGCTAAGCAAATAATCCAAGAAACTGGACTATATGAAGAAGAATGTGGCATCAGGATTAGAGATAGGCTCATTAACAACCTTCGATATACAGATGACACAATCTTGCTTACTGAACATGAATAGTACTTGAAGTATTTATTGATGAAAATCAAAAGCTACAACCTTCAGTATGGATTATGACTCAATGTAAGGAAAGCAAAAATCCTCACAACTGGATCATTAAACAACTTTATGATAAAAGGAGAAAAAATTGAAATTGTCAAGGATTCCGTTTTACTTGGCTGTACAATCAATGTTCTTGGAAGCAACAGTCAAGAAATCTAGCAATATGTTGCACTGAACAAATCTGTTGCAGAAGACCTCTTAACAGTGTTTCAGAGCAAAGATGTCACTTTGAGGACTAAAGTGCGTCTGATCTAAGACATGGTCTTTTCAATCACTCTGTATGCATGGGAAAGTTGGGCAATGAATCAAAAAGAGTAAAGAATAATTGATACTTCTGAACTATGGTCTTGGTGAAGAATACCTTGGCCTGTCTGTCAAAAGAACAAACAAATCTGTCTTTTAAGAAATACACCCAGACTGCTGCTTAGAAGGAAGCATGGGGAGACTTTACACACGTTACTACGAGAGAACTACAGTAACTGGATAAGGAGATCATACTTTGTAGAGTAGAAGGTCAGTGAAAAAGTGGAAGACCTCCAGTAAGATGGATTCACAATGGCTCAAACATACTAACTGTGACAACATAACAACAATTGTGAAAATGGTGCAGGATTGGGGACTGTTTGATTCTGTTGTACACAGTATTGCTATGAATCAGAACTGATTCCATGGCACCCAACAGCAACAAATTATTACCTAAGTAATTTTGAAAATGCTCAGAGAAAATGTCATAAGGGAAGGTAGAGTTCATTTCAAAGCCTATAAAACACACTGGAATGAGGGTTCAAAGCACTAAAGGAAGAGGGGAGGGCCTGACAGGAAGGCAGTGACTTAACATGAGGTCTCTACCTCTCAATCTGCATCTAGAGAGCTAGTGCTGAACTGTATCAGGCTTTTTCTTTCAATCCAGATCATACTTACTTGATGTTGTGGATCTTTCTTGAGACTATCATTGGAAAGTCAACTTCAAAATATTTACTTGGGAGAAGATTTTCATCCTGGAGAAAAACATATAATACTCCTTATAATTATTTATTCACTTATACATTTCTCAATCACTGTTTATCTGTCAAGAACTGGGCACCTAAGTCAATGAGGTATTAAAAGATTTTAAATCAGGCATATGATGTAGTCAGGAATTTGTTTCCCATTTTCAACATATAGAATGGAACTGTGGAAAGCAGAAATGTTACCAGTTGCTGTCCATTCCAACTCCAGGTGACCCTGTGTATGTCAGAGCACAACCGTCCTCTTGCAGTTATCAATGGCTGGGATTTTTCACAAGTAGCTCATCAGGACTTTTTTCTGAGGAACCTCTGTGTGGATTCAAACCTCCAACCTCTAAGTTAGTAGCTAAACGCTTAACTATTTGGGCCATGGAAAGAAGTCAAGAAGCTGGTATAATCATCCAAACAAGAAGAAAGCTTGAACTAGAGCAGTGGCAGCTGGGATAAAGTGGGGAGGAGTTTAAAAAGTACTTTAGAAATTGGAGAGTGCCCAGGTGGTGGTGGTGGTTATGCGCCGTGGAGTCAGTTCCTACTCATAGCGACCCTGCAGCGGGCTTCAGAGGCTGTAAATCTTTACAGGAGCAGAAAGCCTCATCTTTCTCCCATGGAACCGCTGGTAGTTTCGAACTGCTGACCTTGAGGTTGGCAGCCCAACTCGTAACCACTATGCTACCAGAGCTCCTTGGTGATTGCCCTTGTGGCACAACAGTTATAACAGAGAACCATAAGGTTAATGGTTTGAACCCATCAGCCACTCCTCAGGAAAAAATGTGGCAGTCAGCTTCCATAAAGATTTACAGCCTTGGAAATCCTCCTGGGGAGTTGTGCTCTGTCCTCTGAGGTCACTGTCTTAGTCATGTATTGTTGTGATCACAGAAAAACCACAAGTGGATGCCTGGAATAAACAGAACTGTCTTCTCTCTCAGTTTAGGAGCCTAGTGGTCCCACAGTGCTAACTCTAGGGGTAGACTTTCTCTCTTTGTCGGCTCTGGAGAAAGGGCCTTGTCTCCTTTCAGCATCTGTAGGCCCAGAATGTCTTGGAGAAAGAACTCTGTGCACCTTGGAGCTTCACAGTGCAGAGAGCCCAGGTCCAGAGGGCACACTCCAGTCAGACTCCTCTTTACTGATGGTTCTAGGTCCCGCTCAGATCTCAATGCCTGTTCAATCTCTTTAACAGCTCAAGAGATTGATTCAAGATACACCCTAATCCTGTCAATTACATCTGGCTTCATTAACATCACAGAAGCAAGGATTTACAACACATAAAAATTATATCAGATCAGGGTTGATCGCATCAGATAACATCATGGGGGTGATTACATTATATTAAATCTCATCATGGAGATGAAAACTATATCTTAACTACTAAACCACTGAGAATCCTGGTCTAGCCAAGTTGACACAAAATCTTAATGATCACTGTGACTATGAGTCAGAACCGACCTGATGGAAGTGGGCATAGTTTGTTTTTTTAAAGTAGGAAGTACACAGTGTTTTACAAAAAGGAGGTTGCAACTACTCAACCGTCCAACTCTGCTGTTGTAGCACAAGAGTAGCCATAGATAAATGGGCCTGGCTGGGTTCCAACAAAACCTTCTGACCAAAACAGGCAGCAGGCAGATTTGACTCATGGGTTGTAGTTTGTTGACTTATTAATTCTTAAAAATGGAACTTTAGGGAAAAAAATCTTTTCATACCAATTAAAAAAATAAAATAAAATCGCCAAAGACTTTCAGAAACTGTGCAACTCACCTTAACTACTACAGACAGGCAATATTTTTAACAAAGAGGCAAATAAGCCTCACTGTGAATTGCTCAAAAATATTATCAAGGATTAAATTAGTTGTTACAACACCTAACAGATGAGAAACAAATGAGAAAGGTTTAAAGAGGTCCCAAGTGCAGTGGAGAGTGTCTTCAGTTGCCTATGTTAACATAGTTGGTAACACATTCACTTCCATTGCTCCATTTCCTTAACATGCCATATTGCTGTTGTTAGGTGCCAGAGAGTTGGCACCAATCAGTAGCGATCCTATGCACAACAGAACAAAACACAGCCCGGTCCTGCACCAACCTCAGTCACAGCCATATTTGAGGCCATTGCTGCTGCCATTGTGCCAATCCATCTTGTTAGGGGGTATTCCTCGTTTTCTCTGACTCTCCATTTTATTAAACATGATATCCTCTTCCAGGGACTGGTACTTCCTGACAATATGTCTGAAGTATGAGAGACAAAGTCTGGCCATACTATCTTCCAGAGAACATCGAGTCTGTTCTAACTCACAGAATCTTTGTATAGGGTTATCGAGAAGAAGCTGGTAAGTTTGAACCACCAACTTTGCAATTCAAACCAGCCTTTCAGTCCAGTGCTTACCCTACACCGTCACACCAGGACTCAATAACAATATACTAAAAAAAAAAAAGGAAAAATCAGAAGAAAGCCTAAGTGTTATATGGGACGCCATGAAGAGAAATAACTTATGTGTGATAGGAATTCCAGAAGAGGAAAAGACAATAAAAAGCAAAAAGAAGATTTGTTGAAAGAGTTGTTGGAAGAAAACTAGCCTAACATCATGAAAGATGAGAAGATAAGCATACAAGAATGAACCCCAAACAGGGTAGATCTCAAATGAAAATCAAACTTTCTAAAGCCAAATGCATGGAAAGAATCCTGAAAGCAGTTCAGGAAAAACAAAAATTACTTACAAAGGAGAACCAATCAGACTAAGTGATTTCTCAGCACAAACTATGCAGGAAAGAAGGCAGTGGGACAACATATACAAAAACTCTGAAAGAAAAAAATTGCCAACAAGAATCATACTCCCAACAAAACCATTCTCAAATATGATGGCAAAATTAGGGCATTTCCAGATAAATAGAAATTAAAGGAGTTTATAATAACCAGAGCAACTTTACAAAATATACTAATATACTAAAGACTGTTCTTTGGACTGAAAACCAACAACAGCAGACAATAACCTGAGATTAGCATACATGGGAAACCCCATCCAGAGCTCAATCCAGATACAAAAGTATTAGAAGAAAAACCTACAAGACTTAAACTAGGAGCCAGAGATACCAATTAATAATGCAGTTAAGTACAAAGCAAAAACAGGGAATAGTGTGGATATAGAACTTCCAATGGTGAGTCAGTCAAGTAGATCTCAAGATGAAAATTGCCTGTTTTAAATGGGAAAAAATGAGTAAATTACAGGGTAACTCTAAAGAAAATTAATATACCTTCACATCAAAATTTAAAAAATAAACCCAGAAAGATTTAGTAAACATTAAAACAATGAAAATGAAAATAAAACCCACAAACAAAATGAACTCAGTGTAGAAAATTAAGTGGAATAAAGAAACCAGCAGTGCAACAACAAAACACACAGCAAAATGAAAGCAATCAATTAATATCTATTGATAATTACACTGAATGTAAACAGACTGGATGCACCAGTCAAGAGAAAGAGAGCAAACAGGATGGATAAGAAAGCAGGATCCTTCTATATGCGGTCTACAAGAGACTCATCTTACACAGAAAGATAGAAGTAGACTAAAAATCAAGATAATGACAATCAAAAACAAGCAGGAGTGGCAATTTTAACCACTGATAAAACA